ATACCGCGAGCTGTAGCTCGCGGTATACTGAGCTTGGGGTAACGGGAGGACGCTAGTTTGTGTCCTCCCGTTACCCTAAGGAGAACTATGGGGAAAAACACTGACCCCATAGTTCTCCTTTAAAGAATATAAAGATTTATATCTACCATTTCACACATGTAATAGGTCAAATATTTTTTCCTGTCATACAGTCATGGCCAAAAATATTGGCACCCCTGCATTTCTGCCAGATAATGCACCACTTCGCGCAGAAAATTGTTGACATACAAATGTTTTCGGCATTCTCATGTTTGTTTCTTTTGTTTGTATTGGTATGACACAAAATGAACAGCTTTTTTGACAAAACAAAATGACAGCTTTTTGGTAAAGTTAATCATTCTACTGTTTTCAGAAAAAGAAATGAGGCCTTTAAAGAAAAAAAACAGTCCCTACAGTCACACATGGTGGGGGGGGGGGGGGATTTGTAATTAAACTCACCCGTATTAATTTACAGGTGCTGACAATATAGAAATCACACCGGCAACCAGTTAAAATGGTGAAAAATGGACTCAACCTTTCTGTTGTGTGTCTCTGTGTGCCACACGGAGCATGGAGAAGAGAAAGAGCAGCAAAGAATTGTCTGAGGACTGGAGAACAGAAATTGTGGAAAAGCATGGTCAATCTAAAGGTTACAAGTCCATCTCCAGAGATCTTAATGTTCCTGTGTCCACTGTGCCCAACATTGACAAGAAGATTACAGCCCATGGCACTGTAATTAATCTCCCTGGGCGTGGACCAAAGAGAACAATTGATCAAAGATTGCAACAAAGGATTGTTGGAATGGTGGATAAAGACCCTCGATCAACTTTTAGACAAATTCAAGCTGTTCTTCAGGCACAGGGTACAACTCTGTCAGCTCGCATTATATGTCACCATCTAAATGAAAAGGGACGCTGTGGTGTGAGACCCAGAAGGACCCCACTGCTGACACAGAAACATAAAAAAAGCCAGATTGGAGTTTGCCAAACCGTACCTGAGGAAGCCAAAATCATTTTGGGAGAAAGTGCTGTGGACAGACAAAACAAAATGACAGCTTTTTGGTGCAGCCCATCGTTCTATTGTTTTCAGAAAAAATAATGAGGACTTCAAAGAAAAAAATACAGTCCCTACAGTCACACATGGTGGGGGGGTCACTGATGTTTTGGGGTTGCTTTGCTGCTTCAGGCACTGGATGTCTTGACTGTGTGCATGGCATTAGGAAATCTGAAGACTACCAGAGAATTCTGGGGTGCAATGTAGGGCCCAGTGTCAGAAAGTTGGGTCTCCGTCAGAGGTCATGGGTCTTACAGCAGGACAATGACCCAAAGCACACGTCATGAAGCACCCAGAAATGGTTTCAGACAAAGCGCTGGAGAGTACTGGACTGGCCAGCAATGAGTCCAGATCTGAATCCCATATAGTTCCTGTGTGGAGATCTCAAAACAGCATTTGGGGAAAAAAACCTTCCAATCCGAGAGAAATGCAGGGGTCCCAATATTTTTTTTTCATGACTGTATATGTATGCATATACTGTAACTGTTGATACCAGTGTGGCGTGCTGACACATTCAGATTGCTGCAAAACACATTAGTGCATTGTGGTGCCATTCACTTGGCATTCAATGGCACCACAACATACTAAGGCAATGTACAGTATAGCATTATGAATGAATAGTGCAGCATGAATAAACTGCCTTAGAAAACTATTAAAACGCTCAAACTTTTTTTGCAATAATGAATCCAGATCAAACAAACATACATTGCCTTGCAAATTGGCTCCAACCCTCTAAGCTCGGCATCTCCAGCAGCTGTACATCTACCAGCAGGGAGAAGAGAGGGGTAGGGAGGAGCTTGCTTTGCTGTGACACACACAGCGTACATACACACACACACAGCGTACACACACACACACACACACACACACACACACACACACACCTGGATATCAGGGCCAGTACTCAGGGGACCGGCTGCTTCTGCAAGAAACTAAGACATTGAAGAAGCAGCATCCATTGTAAGTGATTTCATCAGCATTTCAAATAGCATAAAATCAATATTAAAATTAAATAAAATCAATCTAATAATACTAAAAAAAAATTTAAAGTCCCCCACCCCCGCGAGCACGCGCGTCGCCACGTAAACATGCGTCGGGTGCGCCTACGTATGAAAACGACGAACGCGCTACACATGTTGGGTATCGCCGCGCACGCCGGAGTGAGAGCAATAATTCTAGGGCCAGTATTTTGGGGTATCTCTAAATTGATGACCTGTGGGGGCTTTTAAAGCGTCTTCTATTGACTTTTTGGGGTACTGCAGTTTTTCGCCGTTTCACGGACGCACGCAATTTGTAACCTATGCATGTTGGGTATCGTTTTACTCGTTGTAACCTCATCTTTTATATGTCATTTAAAAAATTGGTATTTTGTTGTGTTTTGGGGCATTAAATTACATTTTTCACTAAATGTTGGGGTTTAATAAGGAGTTGCGCTAATATTGCGCAACATAAAAATTTGCAACTACCACCATTTTATTCTATAGGGTCTTGGCATTCAGAAAATATATAATGTTGGGGGGTTTTAAGTCATTTTCAGGCCTAAACTGTTGAATATAACATGGGTGCAAAAAATGAAAAAAGGGCCTCAGTCATGAAGGGGTTAAGGGTCATTATAAATTCACACGTAAAAGCTTCTAATGTTTTCTATTAAAAGGTTTCTATTTATAAGAAATCGCCCTTCATAATCACTGTGACATCATTGCTCCCACTGAATAAAGTCGGCAACAACCAGGCACCCAGAGAAGGTATCATGGAGGTGACAGGTCACATCTGCTCTTTGTGCAGAGCTTCTAGTAGAAACTACAGTTTCGATCATGCACTGGGAATTTTAGTTGTAATGAGCGGAATGTGGGTGAGATTGGGGGGGGGTCCTGTATTTTGTAAAGTAAACATTGCTACTAAATGCCTTGAGTATACGCCCACACTACTGTCAATGCTTCCACGCATAGGAGTCTGAGATGTTCGGCCCCGCCAACTGCACAAAGTGGTGACGTAGTTACGCTGCCACTCAATATTACTAGCAACTACAAACTGGACTGTATGTGACCGGTGGCCAGGGAATAAAGGGCCATAGCGACCACTAGTAGTAGTAAAGGAAATGCAGGGGACTGATACTCACAAATTCAGCTTGAGATAAGTCTGCAGATGCTTACCTCTGTACCAAAACCTGATCATGCTGTATAGAACATAGCAATTAACTTTTATCAAGTTACATTCCATTTGGCCTGGAGTGCAGAGGGCCTAAATAATACATACAGGTGAAACTCGAATAATTAGAATATCGTGCAAAAGTAATTGCAGTAAGTGCTGCAAAAGGGGCCCAAACCAAGTACTGAGTACATATGCATGCTTGTACTTTTCAGTGGTCCGATACTGTTCTATATACAATCCTTGTTTTATTGATTGCATGTGATAATCTACTTTTTTGAGGTTGTGGATTTGGGGTTCTTGGGGTTTTCATGAGCTGTAAGCCATAATCATCACAATTATGACAAATCACGGCTTGAATTATCTTGCTTTGCATGTAATGATTCTATCTCATATATTAGTTTCACCTTTTAAGTTGCATTAGTGAAATAAATGAACTTTGCACAATATTCTAATTATTCGAGTTTCACCTGTATATGCTGGATTTACACCCATGCATGCTTTATATTTATACCAATGTATTAGTATTATTTACTACAGGTATTTATGCCAAAAATGTATGCAGCACTTTACACAGTGCACATTCACATCAGTCCCTAACTAAATTGATGACCTGTGGGGGCTTTTAAAGCGTCTTCTATGGACTTTTTGGGGTACTGGGGTTTTACGGATGCACGCAATTTGGGCATGTTGGGTATCGTTTTACTCGTTGTAACCTCATCTTTTATATTTCATTAAAAAAGTGGGTATTTTGTTGTGTTTTGGGGCATTTAATTAAATTTTTCACTAAATATTGGGGTTTAATAAGGAGTTGCGCTAATATTGCGCAACATAAAAATTTGCAACTACCACCATTTTATTCTATAGGGTCTTGGCATTCAGAAAATATATAATGTTGGGGGGTTTTAAGTAATTTTCAGGCCTAAAATGTGGAATATAACATGGGTACAAAAAATGAAAAAAAGGCCTCGGTCATGAAGGGGTTAATGCAGTAAACAAAGCACCAGATTCTTCAATACACCACAACACACAGATGTGAGTATAAATGTGTTGTGCAATTAGTCAGGTACATTTATTAGTGTTTTAAAGAGTGTTATGGAAACAAATGGGTTTTGCAAATGCAACATGCATTAAGAAAAACGTTCATTGTCACGCATGCATAAGTGTGAACCCCGCCCTTAATCAGAATCACCACATAAAAGAGGTCTACAAACAAAGATATAACATCCGTTTCATTCTATGATAGCCAGTTACCCTCACCTGCAGGTCAATGTAACCTTCATCAGTATCGGACAGCTTGGAGTACTTCACTTTGCTGTTGGGAAGGGCAGCTGCATTATTCCGTAAGGGCATCATAGCGCACAAGGCTTACTGCATACAGATGAAAACCTAGAGCCTGACAAAATAAATACAACAGACCAAATGTTAATGGCCTGCTTCCGTATGCACACATCATCCATCTATCTATCCACATATCTACAGTTGTAAGGCTAAGAGGTGAAGCTATGGAATTGGGCAGCACAGTGGCTTAGTGGTTAGCACTTCTGCCTTGCAGCACTGTACAAATCCAGGTCAGGACACTATCTGCATGGAGTTTGCTTGCCCTCCCTGTGCTTTGCTTGCGTTTCTTCAAAAAAAAAAAAAACCTGGATTCCACCTGCATGCAAAAGACATACTGGGAGGCTAATTGGCTTCTGACTAAATTGGCCCTTACATGTGTTTATGTGAGCTAGGGACCTTAGATTGTAAGCTCTGAGGGCAAAGACTGATGTAAATGTGCAGTATGTAAAGCGTGGTGTAAATTGTTGGTGCTATAGGAATACCTTTAATAAATAAATATACATGGTGACATGGTCTACAGTGCCACCCAGCAAACACTGTGATCACTTATCAACCTTACACTAAGCGGTACACTCGCTGGTTCTGTTCAGGCACACAAAGCATTAAAGTGAGTGTTGTAAAGTAGCCACCGCTCCAAACTCACTCCTGTGATGGACTACATTCTCAATACAAATGAGTAAACTAAATGTGAGATTGTAGTCCATCACATGAGCGAGCTTGGAGCGGTGACTACATTACAACACACACAGGGACCATGGGGAAGAAAAGTAGTCACCCTCCAGAAGGAAGGACAGTGTCAGCACTAATTCAGAGATGATTTGAGGACCTTCAGCCGAATGATACACAAATAAGAAATAGTTTTGTTAATAGTTAAGGTACTTGAATGCATTTATAAGATTTAACTCCTGAGTTTAGTGTCACTTTAAAGCCCCCCTCTGGGTAAGATATGTCCCTCTTCCCTCCTATCCTTCTCTAACCCATCCTACAAGGTTTTTAGGTGTTCATAACTAGTGACGCAAGTTATATTCGCCTAAGTCTGCCATCCGGTCCCTTGCTGGGGCCAATTCTGGGTGCAAGGGTTTGCTAACCTAACGCTGCAGATAGTCCCTAGCCGGCTGGTCCCCTCATGTTGACATCACTCCTATTCTGCACCTTATATTGTATCCCGCTGCACAAACTGTTGGCGCTATATAAATCCTGTATGATAATAATAATCTTGGGAGGACCCCGCTGCTGGACAGCGAATAGGGAGTGTGAACATCAGGCAGCATGTAAACAGAAGAGGAGAGAAGACTCCGGCATGGAGCGTCATGTGACTGCAGCTTTAAAGGGTTATTAAACCCTTGCGTGTTTTTGCATATATCTACTCCTAGCATGCAGTAACTATAGGCAAAAACATTTTTTTTTTTAACTTTAAAAAAGGGTTTAAACTTACCTATGTCTTCGCCGCGCGCTCCCGTCCGAACATCTGAAGAGTCTCGGGCGGCCCTATGCGCACTTCAGATGTTCGGCCGGGAGACGAGGAGAGACACAAGGTAAGTATATGGAGCAGCGTGCACCCGCACAGACTCTGTGGGACGTGAGAGAAGAGGAGGACAGAGGAGTAAGCGCTGGATCAGAGACTGGCACCAGCGCTGGAGGGACAGCTGAAAAGGACAGAAAAGAAGATGATGATTGTATTAAGAGGCATGATTTAAGGTAAGTCCCTACAGCAGGATTGGGAAGGGGGGAAAAAGTTTGACTTTAATGTCACTTTAAGTAAAAAGGGATTTTTTTTTTAATCTAACCATCAGTGCGGAATGTTAACATTACCTCGGAGATGGGCTGTATAGAAGAATTCTGGGCATCTAAAGAACTTCCCCTTAGAGAGGGGCTACCCTCGCACTGCAAAGGGTTAAGCGCTTGTCTTGTTTAAGGGGCTCAAATAAAGCAGATTTACTCACCTGATCCTCGGACCCCATGTATAGTCAGCACTCCCCTCTCTAAAATACCCCTCCCATGTAATGTCTTTCAGCATCCTCACACTTAATGCAAACCAATAAGCTGTGATGACGTCAGCTAGACCTCCAGAGCCTGGGGGGAAAGAGGCTGCAGGGACCGGTGGTCCCGAGGATCAGGTAAGTAAATCTGATACAATAGTGTCCCATGGACAAAACCACCACTTAACCCTTGCAGTGCTGGGGTAGCTACACCACAAGGGTGTTTCTTTATTTTGTCGGAGTTCTTCTTTAAGAAAGTGCCATGACACAGGAGCCTGCAGCCACCAGTAACGCCCACACTAAGAAGTGGTTACAGAGGTGACTGTTTGGGTTGTAATGTAGATTCTCAGGAAGCCTGTCTACCCAGCCACAGCTAGCAGAGAGCACAGTGTCACCCCAGCACAGGAAGTGATCAGAGACGCCCCGCGAACCTCGGGGACACACGGGATCATTTCATATACCTGATCTACGTGTGCATACTGCAGACATCAACTTCCGGGTTAGTGTTCCACTAATAGGAAGTGACGCGTCGCCTCCGGACGTCAGCTGACTTACAAGCACTGCCCATAGTACCATTACGGACGTGGGCGAGATGGGGAGGGGTTGTGTGAGTGCGCGGTGAAAGTCTTCCTCTTGTTGGTGAAAGGAGGGGGGGGAGGGTGAGCTGTTATGTATAGAGGATATATTAGCCTAACTCTTTATCAAACCCCAACATTTTGTAAAAAATGCTCTTAAGTTCATTTTACTGGCCCCAAAACATAATAGCCATTTTTGTAAGATATAAAAGATGAGGCTAGCACAAGTAAATAAATAGCCAGCGTGCCCTGGTAAAAAAATGTGCGCGTGAGTCCATGAAACGACAAAATACAGTACCCCAAATTGTACATAGGCGACGCTTTAAAAGGCCGTACAGGTTATCAGTTTAGAGCAGTGGTTCTCAACCTGTGGAACCTCGGGACCCACATGTTTCCTTGGTCATTAAGGCACGACCCAAAAATGATTTCATTTCTGAAACATTTTAATTTATTACACAAAACTTGTGCAGTATTCAGCAATATATATTTTGCTGAAAGTAAATGAATTTAAAAAAATTAAAAAGTTTATAAAGAATAAAAATTAAACATTTAAATCTCGGCCCTGGAATTATTGCTCTCACGCGGTGATACTCAACATGTGTAGTGTGATCCTCGTTTCTGTACGTACACGCGCAGTATTTACACATTAATACTTGCGCGTTCGCGGGGGACTTTACTTTTTTTTAATATAATTTAATTTTTTACTCGCAAGCCCCCCTATGTGATAGCATATAGTGGCGACAGGTTCTCTTTAAGGTGACATTAGAGGTCTATTAGACTCCTAGTATCACCTTTCCACTTAAGAGTGCGTTCCATTGCATTCGGCCTCTGGAACGCACTGGAATGCAATCTGGCCGGCTCACTTTGTTTTGGGACGGGAGGGGGCAGGACGGTGCATTGAACTCAATGGCACCGCAGCCACACCCGCGGTGCGATCGCCAACACCCAAATGCATGGCACATTAGTGCCTGCGTTCCGGTCCAGTCCAATCTGCAAAAAATAGTGCATGCAGCATTTTTTGCACATTGTACTGGACTGGAACTCAGGCTTTTCTTCTTTCCATTTTATTTTTTTTCTCCGTATCTCTATGGGTTGAACTCGATGGACTTGTCTTTTTTCAGCCTGACTATGTAACTATGTAATTGTAAATCTATTGCAGCACTGAATTGTGAATCTGTACTATGTACTACATGTAGAATGCACTGCAGCAATAGATTCACAATTCTGCACTGCTAACATGAATGGGTTAAATGATCCGTAGTACAACTACATGTTATGAACATATGTACTATGGATCATTTAATCTATTCATGTTAGCAGGGGATAATTGTAAATGTATTGTTGCAGTGCACTCTATATGTAGTATATAGTACATGTTCATATAGAGGGCACTGCAACAATACATTTACAATTCTCCTCTGCTAACATGAATGGGATAAGTAAGCTTAATAGTGCCCCCCCCCCCGTGCAGGAGAGCAGAGACGAGTCAGCGCTGGTCTGGTGGGAGGAGCTCCAGGTGGGGGTCCTAATTTAGCTGGCCCAGAGGTGCCGGGCAAGCTAAATTAAGATCTCACATGGAGCTCCTCCCACCAGACCAGCGCTGACTCGCCACTGAGCTGGAGCATCGCGTCACTGCAGCGCCGGTGGGCGGCTCTCCGAGTGAGGTCCTCTGGGCAGTCGCCGGCCACCTAAATTAGGACCCCACCTGGAGCGCCGCCCACCAGAGCAGCAGTGATGCGACACTCGGCAAGGTAAGAAAAAAAAAAACCATAGCGTAAGCTTCGGCGCTAGGTATCGGGGCATTTTGACAAGTACTTGTCAAAATGCCCTGTATCGGGCCTGATTCCGATGCTAGTATCGGTATCGGGACATCCCTACTGTCATTTTGTTCCCCTTTATACCAAAGTAACCATCCCTGACCTAATTATACAGGATTTATATAGCGCCAACAGTTTGCACAGCGCTGTACAAAATATGGAGACAGTACAGTCAAAATACAATTGCATACAAGAGGATTGGATGGACCCTGATCCTGAGAACTTACAATCTAATCCCTTTAGACATGCATGCCAGCCCCTGCTACAATACAGAGCAGAGGTCAGCAAGAAGACCCAGTGATGACATCAGGTATTGAAGAGAAGAAGATTTAATGGAAACATAGGAAGAGAGAAAGGAGGGGAAGTAAAAAAAGAAAGGGAGCGAGGGAAGGGAGAGAAAGTAGGAAAGAAAGGGAGAAAAAAAAGGAAGGGAGAATGAAGAAATGGGAGAGAAGGGAGGAAAAAGAGAGGAAAAAAGAAATGGGAGAGAAGGAAGAGAAAGGAAAGGAAGGGAGTGAGAAAAAAAGGGAGATAAAGGAGCGAAGTGAGGGAGGAAAGGGAGAAAGGGAAGTGAAGGAAGAGAGAGAAAGGAGGAAGGAGTGAAAGCGAAGGAAGGGAAGAAGAAAGGAGGAGGAAGGAGCGAAAGCGAAGGAAGGGAAGGAGGAAGGAGCGAAAGCGAAGGAAGGGAAGAAGAAAGGAGGAAGGAGTGAAAGCGATGGAAGGTGGAGGAAGGAGTGAAAGCGAAGGAAAGGAAGAAGTGAAAGCGAAGGAAGGGAAGAAGAAAGGAGTGAAAGCGAAAGGAGGAAGGAGTGAAAGCGAAGGAAGGGAAGATAGGAGGAAGGAGTGAAAGCGAAGGAAGGAGTGAAAGCGAAGGAAGGGAAGAAGTGAAAGCGAAGGAAGGGAAGGAGAAAGGAGTGAAAGCAAAGGAAGGGAAGATAGGAGGAAGGAGTGAAAGCGAAGGAAGGGAAGGAGAAAGGAGTGAAAGCGAAGGAAGGGAAGAAGATAGGAGGAAGTAGTGAAAGCGAAGGAAGGAGTGAAAGCAAAGGAAGGGAAGAAGTGAAAGCGAAGGAAGGGAAGGAGAAAGGAGTGAAAGCAAAGGAAGGGAAGATAGGAGGAAGGAGTGAAAGCGAAGGAAGGGAAGGAGTGAAAGCGAAGGAAGGGAAGAAGAGAGAAAGGAGGGAGTGAAAGCGAAGGAAGGGAAGGAGAAAGCGAAGGAAGGGAAGGAGTGAAAGCGAAGGGAGGGAAGAAGAGAGAAAGGAGGGAGTGAAAGTGAAGGAAGGGAAGGAGAAAGCAGGAAGGAGTGAAAGCGAAGGAAGGGAAGAAGAGAGAAAGGAGGGAGTGAAAGCGAAGGAAGGGAAGGAGAAAGCAGGAAGGAGTGAAAGCGAAGGAAGAGAAGAAAGGAGGGAGTGAAAGCGAAGGAAGGGAAGAAGAGAGAAAGGAGGGAGTGAAAGCGAAGGAAGGGAAGGAGAAAGCAGGAAGGAGTGAAAGCGAAGGAAGAGGGAGTGAAAGCGAAGGAAGGGAAGGAGAAAGGGAGAGAAAGTGAAAGCGAGGAAGGAGAAGAAAGGAAGGAGTGAAAGCGAAGGAAGGGAAGAAGAGAGAAAGGAGGGAGTGAAAGCGAAGGAAGGGAAGGAGAAAGCAGGAAGGAGTGAAAGCGAAGGAAGAGAAGAAAGGAGGGAGTGAAAGCGAAGGAAGGGAAGAAGAGAGAAAGGAGGGAGTGAAAGCGAAGGAAGGGAAGGAGAAAGCAGGAAGGAGTGAAAGCGAAGGAAGAGAAGAAAGGAGGAAGGAGTGAAAGCGGAGGGAAGGAGAGAGAAAGGAGTGGAAGGGAAGAAGAAAGGAGGGAGTGGAAGTGAAGGAAGGGAAGTGAAGGAACTGGGGTGGAGGTAAAGGAGGAAAGGGAAGAGTGGGGGGCGGGGCAAGGTACCATATACATACATTACACTACAGCTTTGGACTCTGCAACACTGGAACTCGTCCTCTACATGGTTGATCTGATCTGTAATAATTCATTTGTGGTCCTGAGTTTCGTACTTGACAAGAGACAATTCTGAAGATGAAAGCAGTTTCTAAACACAGTGTGACCTCACCACGACATCGGATTGGTATCTATGTTATCTTAAGTAATCTTACTTTGTTTTCTTTATTGTCCATATTGGAGGATCTACTGCAGCAGTAGGCAACTAAGCACTCCAGCTGGGGTAAAACTACAAATCCCATCATGGCTCTGCCGCTAGGAGTCATGTTTGTGGCTGTCAGTCTTGCAATGCCTCATGGGACTTGTAGTCCCACAACAGCTGGAAGGCCAAAGTTGCCCACCAATTATACCATTTGAAACCAATACAAATTAAAACAGAAATGTTTAAAATTCAAGTGGAACTCCGGCACCAACATAGCTGTGATCTACTTTTAGATTGTAAGCTCTCATGACCAGGGCTCTCCTAACCACTGCACAAAAGGCAGACATGCTGCCTATTTACTCTCTATGACACTGCATATGGTGTGAATGAGCCCCTAGGAAAAGCTGTGCATTAGTCTAGATAGGCATGTCTGCTGTCAGAGTGGGCGGTACTGCAGTGATGTTTGTACCTGACTCCTCCCACAAACCAATGCAGCACAAGATGAAGACCAAGGATGATCATATGACACTCCCCCGCTCTCTGCAGGGAGATGATCGAGAAGTGACCGAGCGACAGTATGTCTTCGCTCACTTCCCGATCTATTGAGCAGATGTGATCGTTTCATTGTCACACGTCAGCTCGAGCTATGACTGATATTCACTCACCTCATAGTTCTCCTTTAAAGCAGATTTACACACCTGATCCTTGGCTCCGCCAGACTGCTAGACCAGTCCCTGCAGCTTCTCCCCCAGACACCAGCAGTCTAAGGAACGCTGACATCACATCTGAGGTCCATTGACTTGCATTAGTCATGAGCAAATTGTGGGACATTCCACAGAGGTGAGTGCTGACTGCCACAGGGCCAAGGATCAGGTGAGTAATACAGCTTTAAGCGTGAGATAAAAATCGAGCACTTAACCCTTTGCAGGTGAAGCCCTACTGCAAGGGTATGTTTTTATTATTCAATTCCCCAAATCTCATCGTAAGAATAAGGAACAGGAAGTGTCACAAATGCTCTCTTCACCCATAGTGTGCCTTCGGCAATAAACATTCTGCCTGTGTGCACTTTATATTTGATGTTAAGTTTTGGGCTGCAACAACTGATTGATTAAATTGACAATAGTTGGCAACTATTCTCATTACCGATTAGTTGGGTGGTGGGGGGAGATTTTTTAATGCAACCAATTAAGCGAAAATAAATAAATCTGGCAACTAATCGATGAAAATAGTTGGCTGCAGCCTTGGTAAAGTTCCATTTTAAACAACAATGTCCCAAAAAACAGGAACTCTTCTATATGAAATGCCCCTAAAGATTGATTTCCTGGAAACTCAGATTCTCAAAATCCTTCTGTATTTACCCAGCAAGTCAGCCATGCACATTCATTGTTGCCAGCAGTCTGATCAGTAATTCCACACACACAGGTCATTATTACAAAGATTTATTGACTTCGTATGGCAGGTTTTACAAAGATTGCGTATTTACAGAAATATCTACAGACATGCCTAGAAGTTCAGCCAGGTTGTTATTTCGGGTTACTGTCATTACAAGGCAGTTGAAGAGCTGTGGCGTTCGGGTGACAGATGCATAAAAATAAACTGTTCATTAGGAAGCTTCTTCATCCTCGATCTTTGGAGCCAGATAGTATTTCACATGTCCCATATCTGCAATTCTGTATTCCACCACTGCAAGAAGATAACCCGCCATTAATGAGACATCATAACACTGAAAACTAAACACATCACACGGACAATCCAGGTATGTGGCCAATGTTTTCAGTTCTATTTTGCTTTCCCTGGTTCCTTTCCAACATTGAAACTTCTACATGAACTTGTTTTCATTCTATACTTTTTAGACCCGGTGAGATCATTAGGGCTGCAACTACTAATCGATTATAATCGTTAATGAGAATCGTTGTCAACTATTCATTAGTTAATTGTTCCGATTTGCAGCCGATGCCATCTGGCTGCAGCGGCCTGTGTATCAATCCTCGCCTGTATTGGCAGAGGCGACACAGAACACTAATTTGAAATGGCCAATAGGAAGCCTATTGCCCCCAGCAACTGCATTTACATTCAGCTGTCCCAGCAGGCGGCCGTCATTCCCAAGTGGAAAGGTGGGTGATACCAGGGTCTAATAGACCACCTTAATGTCACCTTAAAGGCAATTAAGTAAACAAAAAAATTATGAAGGTTAACGTTCCAAATTGTTTAAAGTCCCCCAACCCCACAAATGAGCGCATACTAACGGAAACACAAGTCTTGGCATTCCCACCCGGGGTAATCCCCCTCACTGAACGCACGGTACAGCAATGCTGTGCATTCCAGTGACGTGCGATTGCAGAAAATGCATGCAGTTTTATTCTGAAGTAAACTGCTTGTAACTCAATTTGTGTATTTTATTTTAAATAAAAGATGGTATTTAATTTTTGTTTTCCTTAACAGATTGATGGAAAAATAAATTGGCCAACTAATCAATTGTGAAAATAGTTGCAGCCCTAGATATATTCACTGGCCTCTGTGCTTCTCTAGGCAATACATCATGATCATGGCTGGTGGGGGGGGGAGGGCAGCAGGGTGCTTCCTGAAAACACCACAGCACCATGCTTTACTACTCAGCCCTGATGGCTCGACCATGGGAGCAGTTATGCAAATATCAAACTGCCTTGATTGGTGGATGCCAGTCCGAGATGTGGGTGTTCCTTAGCAGGCTGCATTTGCTTTAAGACTAGGTGCACTAGGTCAGGGCTTAAAATTTCCACTCACCTGCTCGCATTTGGCGAGGGGAAATAAAGTGAGGGCGAGCCAGACACGAGATCCATCCGCTCGCTCCCTCCTCACCTGCACTTTGTTTTCTCTTGCTCTGTCCTCCTACGATCGACTCCGGCTGTTGTGTCTTCGTGTAGACAGGTGACGTGTCTATTAGAAGCCAGCGTCTCCTGTCACCACAGATACCCGCTCTCTACTGCGCATGTGCAGGCAGACGGGACCATGAGCTCGAACTTAGTGGCCCGGCATCTAGCTATAGGCGTCCCTGTTCCCATGGCAGCACAAGTCGGCCTGAACTAACGGCCGGGTGCTGTGATCTTTGCTTTGATCTCCACACTGCTATTTCCCAGGAGGGGGGGAGACCGATCTGCAAAGGGTCATGGATGTAATTTGAGCTCTGCAAGCAGGTACTCCAATCTATTTTTTAGGATAGTTGGAAAACATTCCCTTTCATGATTGTTTAGGTTTATTATTTGAATTATCTGGCGGGAATGTGACATCATACTGATGCCATAGGAAGTTGGGGGCAGTTCTTTACTGTTTTTCTATTTGGCAATTAGGTTTTTCCTGTATAAAGTGTTGCTGGGAGTTGTAGTCCTCTATAGCTGGTGCCATTCTGCATTTTTGTATAAAGTGTTGCTGGGAGTTGTAGTCCTCTATAGCTGGTGCCATTCTGCATTTTTGTATAAAGTGTTGCTGGGAGTTGTAGTTCAGGCCTGGCTAGTAGCTCAAGACTTGAAATTTTAAGCCCTGCACTAGGTAATGTAGCAATGATGCCGAGTCTCCATTATTATACTGGGAACTAACATCTCAGGAAAGGGACAGGCAAAAGACAGCAAGACTGGAGCGTAAAGGGCTAGATGTTGGCCTTCCAGCTAGGTTCCATCTTCTAACGCACACTTCAAGAAGCTCACAGTATGCCGTGATATCAGAATAAGACCCAAGTACAGAAATGGAGCCACAACTGTGCAAGACTAAAGGCAAGCTGCAATCAGTATTAAGCTGCATACATTCTACACCACCAGCAAATCTAAACATACAAAATGACCTTTCTTACTGGTACAGCTGGTCAAATAAGGACCAGATCTCCCATCACTCACCTAGAGGGATATCTGCTGACATGCTGAGTGTCACTGAGGCAGACAGGGGTGTTGCTTTGGTGAAGAAATTCAGGTATCGTAAAGCAAATGTTAGTTGGACTGGCTCATTCATTTCTATTGTAACCTGTGGAAGATGAACACATTGGTTACGACCCGGTTATAGGACAGAACATCTAATATACGTACATTCAGATGAACAAGAACATTCCATGTGATATATACAATTTTTGTCACAATGTCCCCCTGGCTGAGCTGCACACGATTGTGATTATTGGGGGGGCGAAGACAGAATCACTATACATAGCGCTTCTGAAATATGGCTGCACCCCACTGCTCTAGTAATCGGGGGGCTAAGAACAGATGTAATCTCACCAGGCAACTGAAATATGGCCGCACCCCACTGCTCTAGTAATCGGGGGGGCTAAGAACAGATGTAATCTCACCAGGCAACTGAAATATGGCCGCACCCCACTGCTCTAGTAATCGGGGGGCTAAGAACAGATGTAATCTCACCAGGCTACTGAAATATGGCCGCACCCCACTGCTCTAGTAATCGGGGGGCTAAGAACAGATGTAATCTCACCAGGCTACTGAAATATGGCTGCACCCCACTGCTCTAGTAATCGGGGGGCTAAGAACAGATGTAATCTCACCAGGCTACTGAAATATGGCCGCCCCCACTGCTCTAGTAATCGTGCTGAAACTGCCTTCACAGATCATTTATAAACTAAGCTAAGTCCACATTAATCACAATCCCTGCAGGAAATATTCTCTCTACACAACAGCACGACAAGCCAGTAGATACAAATGATTTGACAGTGGAATTGATCAAATTCCTCTGTGAAGTAATCAGCTTCTCTTTAGTTTGTTCCGTTAAGATTTGAAAATGAAAGCCGATTGGTTGCCATGCACAGCTGATCCAGATTTTTCTGCTCCAGTTTTGATCAATTCACCTCATTGGGGTGAATCTAAATCTAATTGACAGTTTTAGCTTTAAATCATGTTATGTGTAAATCTGTGTAGCCTCCTTAACATGTGCCACCGGTTTGACCCGAGCTTGCACTATTCTCCTGATTGCGCCTGTTTTGCAAAATTTCGTAGCTGTTTACATCTGCACTTGTCCTGCGGCTGTCTGAAACTGGAGCATCACCTAACAAAACAATCGCTACACAAGTCCCCATGACCACTTCAAAAAGCGACAGTTCAGCTTATTGCCTGGAGTTAAGAGTCTTCTGTCCTGGAGTCTATTAATCTCATTTAGGAATACACTAGCAACCTAAATTTGGCGCAAATATAGCCCATGTGTCCATATGTGAGATCCAACACTCGCAATGGCCATGATAAATTCCGCCCAATATGTTTTATAAAGGAGGAGGAGAGTTGAATATTCAGTGAAGCTTTAAAAATGAAAAAAGCTGATTGGTTGCCATGGGCAACTGCTCCACTTTTATTCCCCTGAGTATTTCAAGGTCAGGTTCCTCCACAGTCCAGCAGCAATTATTGAACCCCAGCAAATGTAAAAATTAACCCTTGCAGTGGGGTTACACTGCTCAGTTTGTCTAGGGGCTAAAATGAAGACCACGCATCTGAACCTCAGTCCTGCAGCTGTCAGCCTTCACATCTCCCCCACAGCTGGAATGTCCCTCGGCGTCTTCACGTCTCATGCAGTTACATGAGATGTGATGACATCACAGGTGCGTAAATCACCAGAGTCCAAAATGAGCAGTTGACCCTTGCAGTGCTGGAATAGCCCCACCGCAAGGTTTAATTTTTACATTTTCTGACATTCTTTTGTAAAACAATTGTGATACCCCAACAACAGAAAGCTTTTAGTTTACAGTACAATCTTAGAATGTCCCATTGCTGATTTTCTTAGTGTTGGAGAGTAGAACAGTTAGGACCTTTGTCAGGTTCCCGCCCGCCTTTATCAGCCTATATCGGGGAGATTTCCCTTCACCTCCATTCCCATTGATATCAAACTGGAAATGTTTGAAAAGCTCAAAAAACTGATGGGTTATTATATTAGCAAGTTTTGGTTAGGAACAGAATCTGTCACATTACAAGCCACTTACAGCTTCTTCCTCTTTATCGACATTTGAAGTCTGTGATAGTTTGACGTTTCCTGTTCCCAGCTCTCCGCTTGCAGAGAATTTCACTCCATCCTTTGCACAAGAGATCACAACAGCATCACCGATCTGACTTAGATCTCTGCAGATACGGGCAAACTCCCCGGATGGCATCTTTATAACACAGCTGTACTCTTGTTCCTATACAACAAAGATGAATTAGCAGCTGCACCAAAGATGAATTAGCAGCTGCCCAATTCTGAAAAGTATCAACAAAGGTCCTTGTGATAACAACAACAACTTAAAACAGACGTTTATAACAACTTACCGGGATTCCCAACTGCTCCACATCCAAGTCCATCAGCTTCATTTCATAGTCTGAAACCTTTTCCTGATCTAAAACACAATGAATGTCAGCATGTTACTAATGTTCTGATACAAAGTGCACATAAGTTACATTTTACCCTAATACAAATGTTATATCACTCCAGTTATACCAGTTCAAGCATTGCTCATGACTGAATGGTACAAGACCGATAACAGCCTTGGTAACACAGAACCTGGAGTAAGGAAGTTAGAGGAACCTGGAATAGCTGCCATTACCATGTGGTTTTAGAGATGCACATTAATTGACACCCTGACATTAAGGCCTCATTCAGCTCTGTGCAGTCGTATCAGGCAGCTCCCGGGAAGGACAGAAGCTGCATGTGATTAGTACGTAGCCCCTGTCCTCTATGGGAGTACGGGGCCATACGCTGCCCTACACTGACCCTAAGTGAAGCTCCATACGGGTGCGGTTGTCTCGGCTCAGATGCAAACAGGATCCAACGCCGTCAGGGTACGAGTACGGACACCCGCACCGAAATGCAGGGCGGCGTACTCTGAGAAGGACGCTGAGGCCGTGCACGAAGCATGGATCTGTACGGGACGGCCTTTTCTCGTGTAAATGAGGCCTAATATCCAATGAGCAACTGACCTAACAAGCACACAGGAACTTTCACACATCACTAGCCGTGTTTGCTCCATAACTATGCTCCTCACATGTAAAAGGTCAACAGACATAACTCTCGTGCAATATGTGACCTAAATGGTTTTAGGCAATAGTGCTGAACTGGGGGAATCCTGTGACACCCACATGTTATTTATATGTTCTTCCAGGACATTCACTTTCCTAATTATCTTTTGGGTGATTTTTCCTCATTTCTCACCCTGGTATCAATATTGTGACAGGAAGTGAGCTGAATCTAGTGAGGACAAAAATAAAAAGGTTCTGTCCATTCCCTTTCCTAATAAAAACGTGCTGTTAGGTCCCAGCTTCCTGTTATTTCCTAAGTGACAACGCTGTCACAACTGGAGAGTTCTCGTCCGCAGACCAGATAACATGACAGGTCTAAGGACAGCCTCCTTATATACACACTCTGCAAATGGACGGTGTGTCAAAAGACCAGTGTAATGTGAACGAGTCACTACCCATCCACAACCCAAACACAGCAACACCCCCTCACATAACCTAAAATGTAAACGCATTAAAAGCAGAGACTTGCCTTCACTTCCTGTCCCCAAGACAACTCTGCAAAGTGAGGGAATCTCAAGCTGGGTACACGATTGGCTGCAGGCACTGTTTGGCAGACAATTCTGCAGAAGATGCTTTTCAGTTTTAGCTATATATACACCAAGTGCAGCCACCTGAAAATCACATCCAAGTTCTTAATCTTTAGCTGAGTGTTGAGTATAGTAATGCTACATTATGTACAGCAGCGTTACAGATGACAATCAAAAAAAGCAGGCACTGTTTACATTAGATCAATTGCTATACCTAGCAGCATCACAGAACGAGGCGCATTGCAGGAATCAAAACTGCAGCAATTGTCCATAGCAACCAATCAGCTTCTATTTTCTTGAACTGATCAAAGCTGATTGGCTGCCATTGGGCAACTGCTCTAGATTTTGCCTCCTCCAGATGAATTCCCTCCATTGTGATTACAGTCTACAAGCCTTGTAACTGGAAACTTACTGGGTGATTCAAACACCATGGTGACTGTGTCTGCATTGTCTTCTGCTCTTAAAGTAATGATATCGTCACTTGCAGCACACTTCAGGATCTTGGACATACTGCAAAAAAAAAAAGATACCAATGTACAAGAATTCCACAACTCAATCACAATACATTTATTAAAGAATTAAAGCCAAAACTGTTTTTTCATTTTGGAGTAATTGGGGGTTATATCCAGTCAGGTTTTTTGCCATCTGTATCACATTGGGAAGAACCCTTCACTTCCTGCCCCATAGCCAAAAGGAAGAGAGAAAACCCCCTGAAGTGAGGAGAAATTCCTGGTTGTCACCAGTAATAGCGCCCCCCTTGGAAGACTTGTCCTCCATTGTCAATTGTTCTGTTGACAATCTAAAATTGGCGATACTGTCAGTGATTACATCACCAGGACAAATTGAGCAGGTGAAGAATCTCCCTAACAGGTACAAAGACAGCAATCACAAGTCACCAGAACATAGGCTGAATATCCCTAAGATGTATTGCACACGGGCATTAAAGGGTAATTCCACTTTCTCAGGTGATTTGGGGAAAATGGAATGACCCCCTCTACCGCCCATACTATACCAACCTTTGGGTGAAATCTCACCTCCAGCGATGACTATCTGGTGTACAGCACTGTTTTGAATTTCACTCGCAAATGGTGAGCACTCATTGGTCAACGCAGTCAGGGGATCGCACTGACCAATAAGTGCTTGCCATTAGCTTGCAAAAGTCAAAATCCAAAGAGCAGGACTGTGCTAGACGGCGGTCAAGGGTACGGATACCACCACAAAGGAGAGTTCGTACAAAGTATGGGGGGGATGATTGGAGGGGGTCATTCAATTTCCAAATTCACCTGGGAAAGCGGAATTACCTTACAACCACATGTGCCCAGATTGCAATTTCTAAACGCTTTGATATGGCTGACTGCACACCTAGACATTCAGCACCATCTAGATAGTCTACCGGGCTGGACATGTTCTGCTTTCTGGATCTGCAGAGTCTGTCACTCATCTACATGAATGTGAACTCCTCCATATGGGACATGAAGCACAAGAAACAATCTGGAAGGCATAACAGTTTATACATCTCAGATAGTTCCTGTGCTTAGTGCAGGAGGGCCCTGTGCATTGGGCCTGACCCGGACAGACAGCAAAAAGAACATGACAGGTGCTCGGATCTTCCACCAAAGCTATAATTGATGCCATTGGCTCCACTTTCTGGGATCCTTCATAAATAGAGCGCTTATCACGGACCACTGAGATGAACACTCAAGGCTCCGCCCACCGGTGATTTCCCGCGCGAACGTCTTCGTCGGAGCGCAGTGACGTCACAAAAACGCGCGATGAACAGTCGCACATGAAGAAACACCCCGCTCGAGACAAGACGGGGCATGTCCGATGACCATGTCAACCGCGCAAAAGAAAAAACCCCACACTGTCCGCACACGTGACCAGCAGACTTGTATAATGTGCGCACTGTCTGGCTGCGTCGTACAGTCCCATCTCTGCAGAAGGCTCCTATGCTGATAACTGGCCAACAGAGCCAGACGGGTGCAAGACATGGAGGGGGGAGATGCAGACTGGGGTTTAATAAAAGACCGCTATGCTAGTCTAAACATCGGGCTTACCTGCTCATCTTCACCCCGATGGACTGGTTGCGGTCACAGCGGTAGGTGTCGAATCCGTCGGAGCGGAGGGTGAGCTGCACCAGGGAGACATGGGACGAGTCCATGCTCTGCAGGCTGATGCCGCTGGAGGTGATGTCCCAGCACGCCTCATCGATCAGGTCCTTCAGCGCCTCCAGCACCTTCTTCAGGATAGAGCCCTGCACCAGTCTGGCCTCGAACATGGTGGCGGAGAGCAGCCGGGGTGTATGTTATGTGGAGAGAAGATAAGGTTTTTTTTCCCGCCTTGCTGGCCTGATCCCGGCAAACTCCGGTCCTCTCTCCTTCTCTCACTCCGGCGCCAAATAAGCCCGGCAGCGCCGCCTCCCACACCTTTTATGGCGCCGGTCATGTGACCTGAAACGTCACCCTGAGGAGAAAGGCGCCAAATTCATTTCCCGCCACAGCCTGCAGATGTTCTTCAGTGCAAAGAACAATGTCAGTGCTGAGGGGAGGAGAAGGCAAAGCTCCAGACAGAAAATAGTCCCCTTTCACATCTGACTGTTTTTCGTGAACTTGCGGCAAACACACACAAAAATGCTTGATTTGACACCAAAAACACAAAACGTGCTCGCTCTGTCATTTCCAGTTAGGGGCACCACCAAACGCAGCTGGGCTAATGTGCGTATTGCACACAAATACAAGGGGAAAAACCAAGTAATGCATGTTGCAGATTTTGCTGCATTTACTACTTTTCCGCATTTGTCGCACGTGCGGGATACCATTGAAACCAATGAGGACACGTGGCAAACAGGAACAAAATGCACATGATCGCATTTTGGTACGCAAGCCTGCAGGTATGACAAGGTTTAAATGGGGGCATAGAAATCATCACAGCCTGTACATAAGAGTTATATTCATTAAATACTCGCTGCAGGTGAATCTTCCTGCTGCACATGTTTTAAATGACAGTGATTGATTCCCCTGCAGTGAATGTCACATTCGCTGGTTTATAAATAGGCCCCCAAGTGTCTCCAGCCTAATGATAACTCTGACTCGATGGTGACACTGTGTGAACTGTACTACATAGTAACAGTATAAATATTACTAAACAGTCAGTGAACCTAGAAATAAACCTGCAAATAACCAAATTCATGTCAAATATTAGGGCCTGCTTCACACATGTGCGTTTCGGTCACGTGTATTACAACAACGCACGGTACTGCAGTATTCACCACAACACAGTAAGGCAATAAACGTGTGTTGCAGCCTACCACAAGGCACAGTAATGAACACTGTGCCAGACATCCCAACTCTCCCGGACGCACCGGGAGTCTCCCGCTATAGCGGCTCCCGGCCGCCCGGGAGAGAAAAACTTCCTCCCGGAAAGGTTTAATCTTCCATAGGTGACATTAGGGGTCTAATAGCCCCCTGATGTCTACATAAAGAGGACCTAACATAAACAGATATCCCATGCACACTAGACCGGAATCCCACTTCATCAGGCACATAACATAGTGACCACTGTGCCCGATGAAGGGACCGTGGTAAGTTCTGAAACGTTGCTCATACGTGTGATGTCGTGTGTATCTGCCGTCAATAAAAATACATACACTGAGTGGCCAGATTATTATGACCACCCCATCAGTACTTCGTTGGGCCGCCTCGTGACTCCACGAGATGTTGAAAGGTGATGCGAGGAATCTGACACTGCACTGTTGCCCTTCTGTTGTCTTGTACCAGTCTTGCCACTCTCCGTTCTGCCCTAACATTGACTAGTCGCTGACGGCCACAATTCACACGTTCAGACCCAGATTTCCGGCTGACAGTCCAGTCTTTAAACACTTTAACAACAGCTGCTCTTGAATATTGAACGAATTCTGCTGTTTTGCTGATACTCGCTCCAAGGCTCCGAGCGGCAACAATCATCCCACGTTCAAAGGCTGTTAAATCGCGTTGTTTACCCGTATCTTCATATGTCGTGGTAAACAACCTGCTTCCCTATTTATAATGGTCTGGCCCTCTAACAACTTCAGAGATAAATTATAGCTAATTATAGCTAATTTGCCTACAAACGTCAGGTGGTCATAATAAACTGGCCACTTAGTGTATTGATGCCTTGGACCCAGGTGTGCGGGTGACTATCGCTTCTACATAAAGAGGGCCTGTCACATCCTCTTTGCTATTACATAGGGGGGTTTCTTAGCCCCTATGTGATAGCAATAAAGTGCAAAAAAAAAACGTAAAAAAATCATCTGTTTCTCCATCCTTAGGCGGTGACCAATTACCTCTCTTCCCCTTCACTCCAGCTGTGGTATGTCCCTCTTTGTTTTGACATCTCATACAAGGGAATGGACCTGGCATAGGCAGAATGATGTCAGCAGGGCTTAGACTACAGAAGCCTAAGGGAGAAGAAGCTGCGTGGACTAGTCTAGTTGCCAGGCGGGATCAAGGATCAGGTGTGTATATCTTCTTTATTTTAGACCCTAAACCAAAACGAGCACTTAAAAGAGCAGGGGGGGGGGGGCCACTGCAAGGGAGTCATTTTTTAAATATTCACAGTTGTTCTTTAAAGCTAAGTGGTCGACAAATTCAAATGCAAAGAAAAAACCCTCCAATTTTAGAGATGTTTTAATCAGTTTCCATTATTTACGTATGAACCATCAAATAATGGACTGTGGTCAGCAAGGAAAGGGTCCAGGAGGGCTCGCTGGGGGGGTCACCCTGAGTTTGCCAGTATGTTGTATTGTAAAACGCTACACTGGATAGTCGGCCAATTAGTAAAACATGTCAGAAGACCGGGTACAGATGTAACCATAGGGACAACAAAATGCCGAGGTCACAGTACTGTCTGGCATAGATGACGTGATGCATAATCTCAGCATACGTCTGTCACTGCAGCATTATTGACCGGTAGAACATCATGTATAAGACATGTAGTAGCATAGCACAGTCATTTACTTCTACTGCTCCTTTGGTCTTGATGTAAACTGCCTACAATCAGGGCCAGATTTACTCTCTCTGCTGCCCCAAGGCCGGTTCCTCAATGCTTCCCCCTACGCGCCAAACATTGTTTCACTGTTTTTCCTAATTATTGCTTTAACTTTTTTCTTTATTTTATTTTTTACTTTTTTATTTAACTTATAATATTTTGCACTTAATTTTATTGCTAGCACACGCTCCTGTGTGATAGCATTTGGAGGTGACAGGTTCTCTTCATAGGACCTGTCACCTCCAATACAGGAGTTTGAGCACAGTACGGTACTGGCTCTTCTGTGACGGCTGAAAGGGGAAGGCTGCGAGTGCAACTCTCCCTTCCCTATGTACATGGAGCAAAGTCTGTTCTCCGCTCTGCTCCCTGCTCTACATCCTGAATGATTGTGCCGGGGGACCCCGAAAACTATGACGGGGAGGGAGGCAGTCAGCAGGGACAGAGGCAGCCAGGTGAGGTTGGGGTGGAAAAAAAAACTACCTGCCCAGTGGCTGTGCCGCCCCTCTACTCCCTGCCGCCCTGAGGCCCGGCCTTGTGGGAAATCTGGCCCTGCGTACAGTCATGACATAACAGCTAGATTAAGCAGCACTCTGGAGAGAACATCTATTAGTCCCTGTTCACACCTGGGCGTTGTGACGCTGAAAGCTTAAGCGTCAAAACACACAACACAAGAATTCCTATTCATTCCTATGGCCCCTGTTCACACATGAGTGTTTAGCAGCAAGCTGTAAACAAGCTGAATGCTGGAAAAGGTGCATGAGCTTCTTTCAGGCAGATTCAGCGCATTTGTGCTCCATGCATTTCAATGGAAAGCGCGCCAAAAACGCGTGTGTGGGGTTTTGCGTATTTATCGCGCGTTGTTGTGCAAAAAGAACACACGTTTTTAAGGCGCATATACATTGTGGAAGACCACCTGCAAAGCACACTGGGAAACAAAATTGCTGATTCATGTTTGCAAAATGTTGATTCTGAGGCATTTATAAGGCTAATCCAGGCACAACCTGCGCAACCCCCTTTATAAAAACAGAGGAAGGAGGAGGCGGGGCTTGGATAATATTGCTTGCCAGGTTTGGCCAGAATGGGAATCTTTCCCTCCATCCCTGAAGGACAGCAAAGGTAAAACATGTGCATGTGACGTGTGGCGTGTGACATGTGGTTAGGGTTGCCACCCCAATGGGTTTCACCCGGACAGTACGGGTTTTGAATCCTGTGTACGGGTGGGAGGCGGGCTCCCACCCGTACACAGGATTAAAACGGCAGACTTGCTCGACTGGCAGCGGGTGATGAGCGGTGAGCACCGGGTAGTGAGCGCCGGGCAGCGAGCGCTGAGCGACACTGTCTCCAGTCACTCCCTCCCTCCTTCTCCCTGGTCACGGTGTTCTGATGGTGAGAGGAAGTGACATCAGAGAGGGAGAGAGAGCGAGGGAGAAAGCATCCTCCGGCAGCATGCGCGTGGACTGGGCTGGACAGCGGCTTCTTCTTGCCTGTGACCGACGCCGTCCTTCTCTGGACCTCTCTCCTAATGGAAAGGTATTTAAAACATTTAATCAAAATGTTTAATAAAAAATATCAATTGAAAAGAGTAGGGGGGAGACCGGTATTATCGAGGAAACCGGGATTTATTCACAAAGTATTTCGTTGAAATCGTTGTGACTGTTAATATTCCGCTCATCATTTACTGCCATGGACGGCATATTATTAACGGTCATAATTAACCATTACAAATGAATACTTTGTAAATAAATGCCGGTTTCCTCGTTAATCCCGTCTGTACGTAAACGCAGATACTGGGTTGGCACTAAAACTTTAAACAAGCGGCTGCCTGAGGTCCTGCGCTTGCTGGGGACCTCGGCAGCCTTCCTGTTAACAACCATGCGGTGCCATGGCGGTTGGGGGGAGGGGCCTTCATGGTTTCTTGCACCGGGGCCCTGAAGGTTCTAGTTACGCCTCTGCATATCATCCAATACAGCTGTCCAGATTCCATGTTAGTGCAACATCCATTTTATTGATCGTTGTCTTTCAATCGGCAAGCACTTTTGGGGCCGCGCAGGGTCCGCTTCATCAGGCTCAGAAATGCGTTTGTCGTTTGAATGACAACTATAAATTAAATGGATTTGCATGTGCCGATACCGATCCTTGTATCAGTGCTGATATCGAGTATTTGGGCGAGTGCTCGTACTCGTCAAAATGCTCCAATACCTTACCCGATACCAGAACTTCCGGTCAGAGGGAGAACTCCCTCTGACCGGCAGTGCCAAGGGACCACGGAGCCTGCCAGAGGCATCCAGAGGTGGGGTGACACCCGGTGCGGGTACCGGGTGACACCCCAAAGTGACATCACGCGCGGTACCGCCGTTACCTGCCGACAGCTATCTTAGTGATGGACGCCGGCAGAGAGAGGAGG